AGACTTTAGAATAAGATTAGACTCTATTGGAACCTTATAAAAGAAATATATAACGCATATAAAAAATCATAAATAATTAAATATCTTGTAAATTGTTGCATTTTGACATGATTTATGGATATATTCTGGATTAATGGGAGCAGTGTACTCATGGTATGAGAATATAAGGTATTTTATTGTGCATATAATGGTCGGCAAACTCAATCAGAACAACCAATCAAATGCTTATCCTAAAATTTAGGACAACGCTTTGATTGGTCAAAGAGCAGTCGCCATGTTGAAGAAGATTGCACCCTCTTAGGAATGAAATATTTTATATCTTTATATCATGGGTATACTATTATTACAATTTATTAAAATTTATATAGGGTGTTCCGGTAAGTTTTGACAAAGCGCTCATGTGTAGATAGAATCTATCTAGGACTAAACTGAGTTGAAAAGTCCTCTACCATTTTGCAATTTTCGCAATAATTAACAAGATATTAATTACTACAAATCGCTAAATATTGGTATTCAATAATTTTTTACTCAAATACTATCAACTTTACAGAAAAACAGCAAAATTGTTTATTTTCTTCTCATAGAGTTCTACAAATTTTTTAAAAAATTTTTATCAACTTTTTAGTACTGCATTTTCTTATTGGGACAACTATTTTTATCAACATGAAAAAATACAGTATAAAAAAATTCTGAAAAAATTGTCGAACTTTATGAGAAGAAAATAAATAATTTTGTCTCGGCAATTTTTAGTAATTAATATCTTGTTAACTATTGCGAAAATTGTAAAATGATAAAGGACTTTTCGACTCAGATCAGCTTTAACCCGCTCTATCTACACATAAACTTTGTTAAAATTTACAGGACACTTTGTATATTATATAAGTATTATTCGTTTTGTCTCTCGGAAATCACTCCGAATGAACCTAGCGTATTCAAAATGTAGGATTCATACTACGTACGTAGTCATACGATCCAATATTCATCGTAATGATGACTAAACGAATAACGTTGAGCAGTCAAGATCGTCGAAATTGCTGAGAAAACATTTTCGTCGCTTAAAATAAGCGACTAAAGCGTAGAACGTTCTCTCGCTGTCTCATTCGCTCTCGACGCGCCGAAGGCGAGCACACGTACGTGGGCTCGTGCTTGTGTGTTACAGCGTCTCGCCATAAAAGGCTGAATTAAGGGGGTATAACACCTTTGCGGCTTCAAAAAATAAAAAAAATTTTTTATTGGCTTAAATGATACTTTAAGATGTCTAGAATATGATCCCATTAACGCCTAAGCGATCTTGAATTTATTTCACGTCGAAAACAGCTATGCTTGTGTGTTACCTCTAGTGCGGGGAGAGGGCCTCGGGGCGCTCACCGAGCTCGCTGCCTTTCTCTTGTGTTTGTCAAGTATTTCAGGATGAAGTTTTCAAAGCAGTCAAGCCTATCTACGAAGAATTAAGTTCTGACGATTTATTATCCCGCTGTCTTGGCGGGTATACTCAAAATAACAACGAGAGCTTCAACTCTGTGCTGTGGTCTATAGCGCCGAAAGGGGTCCACAGCAGCAAGGCGATCGTTGATATTGCTGCAAATATTGCTGTTTGCAATTTCAACGATGGCCTAAAAAGTGTATTGGAAATTATGCAAGTTCTTAACTTAACAATTGTACGGGCCAGGCATTGCCGATTAAGGTAATAAGCTAATAATTGCAAGATTTCTCGTACCAAAACTTAAAACGCGTTTTCTGAAAAACACTATTTTTCAAGCTGGTGTACATCACAATGCCCAACAATTTTTATCCGATCGACAAAAATCAAATATCTTTATACTCAGCATGGGTGCCTTTATGGTACTACTTAGCCTTTTTTAAAAAGAATCACTAGATTTTTTTTGGCAATCGATTTTATGTCAGATTTTTAGGCGAAAATTCGATTTTTTTTTTCAAAGTCGCGCCATTTTCTCAAAAATTGATATTTTTTAAAATCCACCGGTACTACCTTAGCCAAACTATCACAGATTAAGAACCAATTTGTATTTTTGTTTTAGGTCACTCCAGTCAGCCACAATCGTGTACACCAGCAAGACATACGCGACGCTAGCGGCCTCTTTTGACGGCGTTTATTTTATAAACCATGATGATTTTTCAAAAACAAAAAATATGTTCAGTGTCTTTAATATGTAATAAATAAAAAAGCCCAAAGACCCGATTTTGAATTGCGCACTTCTTTGTATTAGGTGTTGGAATTAATTCGTAGCGTTTTACAAGTGATGGGAAGTACTTTCATTAATGTATTTTTTAATGCTCATGAAATAAATAACATTCTTTCATTAAAAAACGCTACGAATTAATTCCAACACCTAATATGTAAAAAAAAAATCTTGAAAATGAGGTCGATTTTGGCCGTAAAAGGTGTTATACCCCTTTAATAGGCGTGAAAAGTAACATTTTGACGACGAAACTTTATGTTACTTGATATTTCGTTATTATGTACTTCATTGTGGAAATATGATTTATCTCGTACTTATCAAAGTCGTAAAAATTACCGAAAACTATAGTTATCTTGGAATTTTATATATAAAAACATATTTTTCATTCATTTCAATAACTGCCAGACAGTGTGTTTTCGCGCGGATAAAAGCTCACTTTACGTGCTTTTTACGATCATTTACCGTCAAGGCAGGAAAGTTTTTCGTCGATATTTACAAACATTTTAAAACGATCTCATCATTTACATTTATCCAAATTGTCTTTATTTACAAATGGCATGTAACATAAATTAACGTGTCATTCTCACTTCTGACATGACGATTACTCAGAAGAATTTCGAAATTAAAATCTTATTTATCATTTCTTAGTTCAATATGGCGCTTCAGAGCTATTACATCATGACAATATTTGTTTCATATAAAAGCTGCGCAATGTGTATATTAGTAGTCTACTAGTAGATTGCATGAAGAAATAATGTGGAATTTTTTCAATTTGACTTAGACGTCTAATTAAAACGTAATTGTTATACAAAAATTTATATCCTACCAAATTTATATCCAACAAATTTATATATCCTATCCACATTATTATAAAAAAAATTTAGAAGCCATTAAAATTTTGTTAAAAAATAGTTACTCTCTTCTTTTGATTCTTTCTACCGTAATATCTATACGAGAAAAATATTCATCTCATAAATCAGATTTATTCGAACATACTAACTCGAATTCTTCAATAAATATTATTAGGTGTTGGAATTAATTCGTAGCGTTTTTTAATGAAAGAATGTTATTTATTTCACATGAGCATTAAAAAATACATTAATGAAAGTACTTCCCATCACTTGTAAAACGCTACGAATTAATTCCAACACCTAATAAAAATAAATTTTTCACAGTACCTTATGTTAAGACTATCTCCGAAAACTTTATATCATGAAAATCAGGTAAAAAAAATAGCATTCCATTCCTAATACCTTAAAAAGATTCATGAAACGAGGCAAAGATGAATTAGATCCAAAGATGCATCACGACGTGGTTTATGAGATAATTTGCCACAATTGCGATGCATTTTATATTGACCAACTAAAAGACAGTTCTAGAGATAAAATATGTAGGGTAAAATACATTTCAGATATCAATAAAAAAAAGTGGATCTCTTTCAGTTATTTCTAACCACAAAGAGATTACAGTACAACCATGAATTTAACTGGAATGACGTTAAAATCTTGAATAATGAGACATCACATATAAAAAAATCAGTTTTAGAAATAATCCACATAAAACATTAACAATATGGCTTAAACAAAGTGATACCAAATTACTCTCAAATTCATTTCTACCAATCCTTAACTTGTTATCCCCTTCCAGATCTCAGTTTTCCTTCCATTTTATTTTTTCCCCTTTTCATCAAAAACTAATCCATCCTCTCTTTGTTTCTCCTTATAGATTTACATTTACAGCAGTCATTTTCATTCCAAATGTATCAGTTGAACTGTCTACTTGTGATTTATTTCTTTGTTAACAATAGCAATTTGCTTGTTTCTTCCTTAGGTATGCTTTTAATTACTATTAATATTGTATAATTTATTTGATTAAGAATTTGTGCATTATTACAATATAAATTTTATAATAAACGTTAAAGCTGTGAGTCAATTGAGGAGAAAATACAGTAAAATGGATATATAGCTCGTTCATACAAGCCACTAAAAGAGATTTATCATGTATTGACTAACACAAAGTATATACACTAAAGATAATTCGATTTGAGAAATGTTTGTAATTTTGATGTACATGTGAGGAATATGTATAATGTTAATTGTAATGTTAATTTATAGCACGACAATCCTGCTTGGCATGTAGCATACTTTTTTTAATTATTTTGTTTTTAAATTTTTGAGCCCACAATATATTGATTTCTTAAAAATGTATATGTATGTGTGGCATGTATAAGGGAGATATTGATGTAGTGATATGTCAATGACACATAAATCATCTGTGTGTGTACAATATGACTAATTATCTTTAGAATCCCTTTAAGCAAATTGAGAAAACCTGATTCTTATGATCTAAAAACATAAGTTATAGCTAATATTTTGTCACTCACAACTTACAATTTATAGCCTCTTAAAGTAAGATTATGCACTTAGACTGATGACTAAGGTTGCGTTCGAAAACATCCCAAACGCAGTCTTATTGCAGAAAACCTATTAAAACTGATTCTAAAATGAGTCGATAATCGGAAATCTTAAGTCTTAACCTAAATAGACTATGATTTTTGCATCTACAAATTGTTAATCGTATAGAAAGTCGTTTAGCTCGATTAATGGAAAGAAATAAAGTCGAATTTGATCAGTTTCAAGATAATGCTGTTGGCTAACTTTAACGATTCACCGATAAAATTTAGGATTATCGACTACTGACTCATTAATCAACATAAAACTACATATTACCGATTCATTGTAGAATCACCATTAGTGAAAACTTACATAATTTGACATTTTGTTATTAATTTCAACTTACTATCAATTCTGGTTCCTGCTTACGAACAAAATATTCCAATAATTCGTATAATATTGGCTCATTTGACGTTTCATCCACGATACTCATCTTGTCATTTCTTGTTATCACAAACGGCACTAAACCACACCAAATGGTGCAAACACTATACACAAACACATACAGCCATACAAGTGCAGCAGTTTTTAGTTGTGGGTGAGTCAGGGCGTTAGGGTGCAATTACATGTAGAGTTCCTATCATGGTGGAAAGGAGCTCCGTACAATAAAAGGAACAAGGAACAGAAAATAAGAATTTCAACCTATCAGAAATCATATATTGTGGAATACACAATTTTTGATAGGTTGAAATTCTTATTCTTTATTCTCTATTCCCCGTTCCTTTTATTGTGCAGAGCCTCAAAGAACTAACATGGGCTGCGTTCAGTGGACTCAACAGTGTTGTAAGGGTCTAAGCACAAAAATTATCGTAACACTTAAAGCTTAAACACAACAGGCACAGGCAATAGGCACAGGCAACAGGGAATAACGAGTCCAATCAGAGCTCTGGTATCGATATTTTTTAGATGACCCAATAGAATTATTGGTTGGTATGACAACTTCTACCGCGCGGCAAGCGTTACTGCGTTCTATGTGCGGAAGCCATTAGGGTGAGATTACATGTAGCACGGTATACGGTACAGAAACTAACTAGATAATTATAGAAACCGCGCAAACTGTTGCTTGCTTCCTTTTCCTTCTATTACGTATTCCGTTCTATTACTATTCCCTTCTATTGGTCATCTAAAAAGTATCCGCGGTACTTTGTCACTAGATATATGACCATCAACACACATCTAGTGACAAAAAACCGCGGATACTTTTTAGATGACCCAATATTATGTAGCGCGGTAAGCGGCACGGACTAGTGACAAATTCACGTTACTAAGCACTTTTTAATAGAATTAATTGATTTAAATGCAATTATTGTAAGTAAATTCGTTCAAAAAATAAGAGTATTGATGAAATGTGCAGAAATAAGTTAATATACTTAAAAAAATTCATGTTAAAGTTTATTTGTCATTAGCCCATGCTGCTTACCGCACTACATGTAATAAAGGAGAAAAGAAGCAAACAGTACGGTTTGCGCGGTTTCTATAGTTACCTAATCACCCTAACAGCACAAACGTCGACTGTAAGTTGGCTTTGCTAAATCAGGCTTTTAGAATTGACTGTAAATCGACTTTGTATAGATGTCCTTCCAATGTTGACTTTAAAACGTCTAGTGCGATTTACACTCACAAAGCTTAAATGTGGAATCATTTCGTCCTTGTTGTTTAATTATAGTTAAACAAGGATGAATGTTGTTCATGAGCGATGGACATGAATCAGATCATAGCCTAGAATGATTGACTTAAAGTCGGCTTACAGTCGTCTTTAAAGTGGGACATTGTATGACTTAGAGACATTTCCAAGTCGTCTAAAGTCGACTTATAGACGTCCATTTTTCAGATGTCTAGAAACTATAGTTGACTCAGAGTCGACTCGCGTATCGCCAATCACAGAATCATTCTCTTAGATTTGTTTGCAAATTTCGCAAGTAGATCTAAGAGAATTCTGTGATTGGCGATACGCGAATCCGCTTACATGATCCGCTGCATGGAACATCACTCTCAAAGTGCGATTATATATACGCAATACAGAGACTACCCTAACAGCACAAAGTCGACTCTAAGTCGACTCTGAGTCGACTATAGCTTCTAAACATCTGAAAAATGGACATCCGTAAGTCGACTTTAGACGACTTGGAAACGTCTCTAAGTCATATATCTAGTGACAAAGTACCGCGGATACTTTTTAGATGACCCAATACATTAACTTATTTCTATGTGCATTTCATCAATGCTTAATGGATTTACATAATAAATGCATTTAAATCAATTAATTTTATTAAAAAGTGCTTAGTAATATGAATTTGTCACTGGCCCGTGCCATGCTATATGTAATAGAAGAGAAAAGAAGCAAGCGGCATGATTTGCGCGTTTTTTATAGTTATCTAGTTTCTATAGTTATCTAGTTAGTTACTGTATACCCAAGGACTTCGAGTCTTTCCCTCGAAAAATTTCACAAACTGAAAAATGATCACTTTTCTACATTAATGCTCATAGTCCGTGTACGATTAACGACATGACTAAACCTTACGTTCATTTACAACTAAATTTGACATAAAATTGAAATAATCTGAATTTTTGGAAGTTTTAACCCTTTGCGGCATAGTGTCTCACATATGTGACATCTTTTTAACCTTAGTTTTTTATGTTTTTCATAGTTTCTAACATATTACTACAATAAAAAGTTAAACATTATCAGTATTTAAAACATCAATTGTTATAAAAAAACCGTGGAAACATTTTTTCATTGTTAACAAAATGTATTTTATAAATAAACTGGAAAAATTCATCCTTTTTTAACAATATATATATAAATGTGATTGTGACTAATCAACAATAGCTAATTAGCTGAAAATGAAGTCTGAGAGGTTTTTTGGGTTGTATTTTTACGAATTTGAAATCAAAATTAAAAAATTAAAATTAAAATTACTTGATTCCATTTTACAGCCCAAAATTAATTTTTTAATTTTCTGTCCGCAATCTTGGATCCATTTTGAATTTTGAAAATCTGAGGCCAGATTCGTAATCAATGATCACAAAAAACTCCTGAGTAACAAATTTCAACTGAATTCTACGTAAAGAAAAATGTATGCTTTAAAAAAAGAGTTAAAAAAGTAATCGAGGGAAAGAATCGAAGTTCTCGGGTGTAACCCGCGTACCGCGCTACATGTAATCGCACCTTCAGAGTTACTAATAGTAACTAACTAGGCAACTAGGAAACCGCGTACTACGTACTGCCTATTTCTTTCGCTGATATTACATGGAGCGCGGTTTGCGGCATGAACTAATGACAAACTCATATTAGTATAAATTTTTTAAAATATATTAATTTATTTTTATACACGCTTTCTCGATACTCTTATTTTTTTTAATACAATAGATACTTAATAATTATATTTAAATCAATTAATTTCATTAAAAAATGCATAGTAGTGTATAGTAATGTGAATTTGTTACTAGCCCGTGCCACAAATCGCGTGCAAACCACACTTCATGTAATATCAGCGAAAGAAATAGGCGATATATGGTACGTGTTTTCTAGGTACAGTAACTAATAGTAACTATACAGTAACTATACAGTATAGTAATAGTAACTATACAGAGTAATAGAAACTATACAGTAACTAATAGTAACTATCTAGGCAGGGCCTAGTTAGTTACTATTAGTTACTGTACCGCGCTCCATGTAATCGCATCTCATGGCTTCTGCACATTGGACATGGAAACACTTGCCACGTGGCAAAATGAGACGCGGTAACCAATGAACACATTAGGAGCTATAAGCTTATTGGCTATCGCATCACATTTTGCCGCGCGGTAAGCGTTTCCGCATAAACATATGCATAAAGAAAATCATCCAATCGTATTTTACGTTTATCTTTATGATAGAAATGTGATTGGATAATTTTCTTTATGCATATGATTATGTATCTATGCAAGTTGTGTGAAATGGCCTTTAGAGTACGTAAAGCTAAAGCAGCATTCTGATTGGCTCATTGGCTTAAGTTCACGTCTTAAAGTTACTGTAATGTAACTTCTACAATAATCTATTAGTCATAAATCAGAAGTCAGAAGATAAAAATTGACGATTGCGATTGGTCAATTTTTAGCTTCTGACTTCTGATTTTTAGTTTCAGTCTGATACTGAGCAACTGATAGGAGTAATAGGAGCTGATAGGAGCAACCTGAATATCAGGCTATTCCTCGCCCTGATGAAGTGAACTGCAAGGTTCACGAAACGTTGGCATTCCAAGAATGGATCTGAACACGGAGAAAACGCATAATCTTTATATAGAAAGCACTCGTGGAAATATTATTAGAGAAATTTATATATCTTATTCAAGTAAACAAAAACGTTATATGTGAGCAGAATACTTACCCTAATATACAAAATAATTATAGAATATTTACTTACATACATACTCACTTACTTACATCTTGTATATTTTGCTTCCGTCATTTCATTAACAGCTATCCTAAACCGCTCTGCAAATAGTGGCTCGTATTCTGACAATTTTGCGCGTTCCGAAAACCATAAAAAAAAAGTGTTGCAACCATTGACATATATTGGGTCATCTAAAAAGTATCCGCGGTACTTTGTCACTAGATACATGACCATCAATACACATCTAGTGAAAAAACCGCGGATACTTTTTAGATGACCCAATAGTATTGGACGGAGCATGCGGAGAAATTTCTTTCGTCTTGATGGACTTAGAAAGAATAAGGTAGCTAATTGAGCACGGAACTCTCTTTCTACTCTTGTCCTATTGGTCGAATTATTTCAGGAGAGGGAGGACAGTAGTGTATTCTTAAAAAGTCAAGACATCACAGTATTGATTGGTACTAATGCAATACGATAATTCTAAACTCTGAGCACAGACAAATCAATTCATTCGTAAGTAAAATTAATTTACAATTTTTTAATGCCTCTTGATTACATGATTCATTACTCCATAATCGCTCTATCTCTTTCTATCAAAATGGTTTCGATGCTAATGCTCCGTCCAGTACTAGAGGCGTTCGGCAATGTAAATCTGAGATGCGAGCTAGCAGATGGCGAGCTTGATATTCGAGCAATCCGAGTGCCAAGAATTAATTCCGAACGATACAGAGCTGTTTTTTAAAGTTAGATTATAAAATGAAATTATTTATTTTTATAAATAAATAAAAAATACCCTATTAATTGAAATTTTCTTTACCAGAAACTGATAATAGTCTTATATCAAAAATAGATCATTACACATGAATGTAGCAGACTCATATGCAAGGTGTTTTCTTAAAAAAAAAATACTATATTGCAAAATAAATTTAAGCAATTTATAAGTTATATCACTTGATTTATATTCGCAAATTCTTTATTTTCAAATACGTAACCTCAAATTCATAAAGAGGAAAAAAATTAAAAACTTACTTTCCTCGTTAAATATTGTACATAATGTACTCAATTTCTATTTGATAGTATTCAGCGTTTGTAGACTCAGACATTATAACAGTTCAAATACACTATTTGTAAAACAGAAGTGTTAAAAGAAATGAATGTATGTGTTAACGAATCAATTGGATACAT